GATCTTTTAAATATATGTACTCTTTTGAAAGAGGGAAGTGCATGCCAAGTTGAGTCATGAAGAGAAACGTCGGTGTGGTCCGCGGCAGCTGCCTGCTTCCCCGGGGAGGAGGGGCCGGGGAGGAGGACAGGAGCGAGCGAACCCCTGAGCGCTCAGCAGAGTCACTAGTGGGAAAAGAACAAAGGCCTTTCCAATGCAGCCAACACAGATGTGCCCAAAGGCAGACTGTCAGAAACAGTTAAGATGACAGCTACTCACAGTTCATTATTTCCTTCTCACAGGTCACTGGGTGACAAGCTGGGTCAGTGTGCTTTGTCGGCTGCCCCAGTCCTTCCCCACCCCCTATCAATTTAAATAAGGGTAAAGGGCTCCACTGGATAAACTAATGTAAACAAACACATTCCAGACACTTAAAGATGCCAGCATATGACCTTTACCTTATTTTGGGCCAAACTTAGAATTAACTATACACACTTTATCCAAACAAGAAGAGAACCACATTTCTACATCTTGCTGATAGAGGAAGAAAACACATTCTAAGTGTGGCTAAGGCAAATAAAATAATATAATCCATTATGAACTAATAAGAACTTTACATTAAGGACTTTACACAATAAGAAATTTTCCTTTGTCTTCAACAGGAAAAAGAAGTTTTCCAAGTTACAAAGAAAAATGAATCAACAGATAGCTTTCCCCAAGTGTCTGAAATGTAAGTGAAATGAAATGATTCTGACTCGATAAGAGAGCCTGGTTTGTTGTAGTTTTTTAAGGACATAATTCACAATAATACACACATCAAAATGGCAATAGTCTAACCAAATCTTTTATGATGTAATATACATAAAATTTTAGTAATGACAATATGGCTACTCAATATGTTAACATTCTGTTATGAAATCAATAGAATAAAAACTGCTAGGAATAAGGAATAAAACAGTGGTTAGAGCACGGGTTATATACCAACATTTGGAAACAGCCCAAGCATCCATCAGTAGATGAGTGGATAAAAAGATGGAGTGCATTTACACAATGGAATACTACTTGGCCGTAAAAAGGAAGGAAATCTTACCATTCATGAAGCATGGATGGACCTGAAGAGTATTATGTTAAGTGAAATAAGCCAGTCAGAGGAAGACAAGTACCATATGATTTCATTCATATATGGAATCTATTGAATAAAATGAACTAATAAGCAAAACAGAGACAGACTCATAGATACAAAGCAGGCTGACAGCTGTCAGGGAGGGATGTAGGATGCTGGGGTGTTGGGTGGGGGTGGAAAAAAAGAAAAAAGAAAAAGAAAAAGCTCATGGACACAGGAGAAAAGTACAATAAAATAAAATTGAATAATTACAATCTCTCCTAAAAAAGAGTATGGGTTATAGATCTCAGTGGATGTAGGTTCAAATGCCATCTTCCCCATTAACCAGCTGTATAAACGGGCACATTAATAAACCACTCTGAACCTCAGTTGCTCTATCTTCTTGGATTATAAGAGTACCTCTACCATCATATTGTTATAAAAATACGTAAATCTATCTGTCATGTTGTTATAAGTAACTATTTAGCATAGCAGTTGGCACACGGTATGAGTATTCAACAAATGACAGTTACCTCTCACTACATTCAGTATATACAAAGCTGACTTGAACCACCATTCAAGGTGTGAAATACCTTGGTTAATCATGAAAGGTTATATAACACACAGACACAGACAACAGTGCTGTGATAGAGGGAAAGGGGGAAGGGAGGGAGGTGGAGATGGGCAAAGGGGGGATAAATGGGGACGGAAAGAGACTGTGCTTGAAGTGATGGGTGCACAATGCAGTGTGCACATGATGTTTTGGTGGGTTGTACACTTGAAACCTTTATGATTTTGTGAACCAATGTCACCCAAATAAATTCCATTTAAAAAAAAAAAAAGAATTGCAAAAAAGGCAAAAATTATCTCTAACCCCTTCAAGTGCAAGTCTCTGTAGCTCAGTAAATCTAGACTATTGGATTCAACAAGAAATCAGGCATTCCTGGTCGCCCTCAGTATTTTCTACTTCTTACGGTCTTTGCTGAAAGCTGCATATATTGCCGTATCTTTTATTCGTCCCTTTCTAAACTGTTCTGCCTTATTTAAAGGTCCCTTTCCACATCCAGTTAAAAATATCAGGTCCCTTTGGAGAACCTGAAGATTTGGATAATCACTAGGGCAGGAACATAAAGACAGAACAACGTAGAAGCTGAGAATAAGACTTTGGGCTCAGAGAGGCCAGCCTTAAATTACCAGCTAGAAGACCTCAGCCAACCAACTTAACACCTCTGTGCCTCAATAGCCCTCAAGCAAAGTTAGTATATGTTAATTAATAATCCAATGCTATCCTTCATTTTCACATAATACCTGCCGCTAACTATCTATCGATCTCTCTGTCTTTCCCCAAATTTGGCACTTGTGGTTCTCTCATTCCTTGGCTATTTCTAAGGAAGTACATACATTTATATCTCTGTTTTTTAATTCTCTTCAACTATACATTCTTTATTTACATTATTTCATTAATATTTTCCCTGATGTTCTAAAATTTTATTCATTTTTCAAATTTCCACAACTCAGATATTTCACATTATTCCTTTATTTTTGGCAGTGATTTCATTCTTATATTTTGTAAAATTATCATTGATAAGAGGAAGAAAATGTAAAGCCCTCTCCTGAGGCTGCAATAATATAATGCATTAATTTCCTTGTACTTGGAAAGCATGGAAACCTAAGTAGACAACTTAAGGTTCAGAGTAATCAATATGCCAAATTCAGTCCCAGGTTCTAATTTTGCCCAACAATTCCTTCCAAGATGAGAAGTAGTTGCTTTAAGTACTTACTCTTTACTCAAAATAACTTTGTTAAGGAACAGAAAAAGAGGGCAAGATACTGAAATTACATCTACTGTGGTAAACTGAGGGGCTGGAGAAGAGAATGCAGTTAAATGCCTGCGGCTGTAAGGCCAGTGGAGTTGCTGCAGCCTGAGACACAAGCCCTGGGGAACGCCCAGGGCCCTGCGAAGTCACCAAATCCCAAATATGCTTCCCAGTCAGCTGGCATTGACTAAAAATCCCAAATCTAAATACAACCCCCATAAAAAAAAAACTCTTTTACTTGTTTTCAGAACATTTTAGCAACTGTTAAGAGTCCTTACTATTTTTCCAGAAACTTAAAGACATCAAATGTAATTCTAACAGCTCAAACAGGTATTGTGGTATGTCAGCTGACATTACCTGCTTTGTTTGGCGTCGGGGTGGCCTCACATTTTCTAATAGTATAAGTGGTTCTCTTAATGCTCCAGCATCAGACTGTATTGCTAGGGAGATACAACAAGAAAACACAGGAGACAAATCCCTAAACTAACTACTCAATGCCCTCAACCCTCAGAGAAAATATTTCCAGGCTGGGGAAGGGAAGAGTCACAGAGAAGCAGGTGGGCTGTCACTGGGGGCCGCGGGCTGGCACGCCAAGGCCAGAGCCAGGGCCAGCACGAAACAAACACAAAAACACCACATAGATTTCAGAAATCTGAAAGCAGAAGGAGCCTGTGCCTCCTGGAGTAGAAGGCAGGATAATGACATGCACCCGGTCAAAAAGTAGAGGCTGCCTAACAAGTCTGGAAAGGTAGGTCAACAATAGCCTCAGGACACAGTGTTTGAGCTCCCCAGGCTCCGGGATCTCCTGAGTTCCTGCTTTACAGGAAGACTTCAAACACTGCTTCCCGGAGACGTCTCTCATCTCTCGTCTCTCGTCTCTCTAGTGCCCTGGATGGACTGTGTTCTGGCTGTTTAGCTGCAGCCTGTGGTGAAGCATCAGAGAGCTGCGACTCATGAAAAGCAAGGAGCCGGGAATGAAGACCTGGAACTTAAGTTTTCGCACAGGTCCAGGAACACCCCGTACCGTGATACAGTAAGGGGCTAAGTGTGCTATTTTGTTTACCTATGCCCTGTGTTACTTAAAGCAACAAAATCAAAGGATTTGAGGTTTAAATAACAAATTAAAGAGAAAATACACTGGAAAATACACTTTTGTTATCAGAAAAAAAATGTTCTCGTCAAATTCTGAGGCAGGAATATGTAAATTCAGAATATAATACAGTTTTTAATTGAAAAAGAAAGTTGTCATGTTGCACACAAACTTATATGTTATATGTCAACTATATCTCAATAAACCTGGCTGAAATTAATTTTTTAAATAAAAGTTGACATTTTTTCTTTTTTCATGCAATTGACATTTCTAGCTATAGTTAAAAGATTTAAACATAGTAATTCTTTTAAACTTTGATGAGTATGATAAGAATTGTAATAATCCTTTAGGAGTTTTTCAATAAATAGCTAATTTCAAACAATTATATATTAAAATTGCGGTTTACTAACTTATTTTGTAATTTATAACATCAAACCCTAACAGAATAATAATTAACTTTAGCTTTTTAATCAAATTAAGGGGATTAGAGTTACAGGTTCCATTTTCTAAGTATAATTTTTCAATTGGTTAGCAAAATCACTGATGTTAATTTTATTCCAGTAACAAAAATTATGTCACTTAGTTAAATTATCACTATTTAAGACCATCTACTGTGCACCCATCCTAAGATTTAATTATAATATTCTCCTGATGTAACATTAAAAGGATTTTTATGAGTAGGGCCTTCTTAAAGACCTCTCAGTATTTTCACAATTGTTTATAGGTTTAGGACTGCCTTACCCTAAATATGTTATTTCAAAGTATTTCAGTGAGTTCCCAGGAAAGCAGCCCTTCTTAAGTATGCTTCTAACCAGTACCACACATTAATCTTTAATGAAATACACATAAATGTCACCTCACTTGATCAAATGCGACCCAAAAACTACTGTGCTTGAAAGCTGAAGGGCTTTTGAGATATTTCGATAATCATCAAGAAATCAATCTTACATGAAACTGAAGGAACACATGGAATGTCATTGAGCTATAAAGCTCCACGCTGTCAGAGCCCTACCTCTGAGCGGCAGCCTTGGGATGCTTCTCTCCCAGTCTCCTCACCAGCGCCACTGTCAGCGGCCCTGACTCCCCGCGAGGACCTTCTGGCATTGAATCGGTGTCTGAAGGCTCTGGCAGTTGCTTCAAACTAGGGATGCTGGCACTTTTTTGCAGAGCCTAATAAATAAAATATAGGAATAACATAGCTAATTTTCATTGACGGAAACATCTAAACTATATATGCCAAAATTTTAACATTACACCATTTGTGGTTCTTCTTCTGTCTTCTTCATCCTGCAGATAAATCATTTGTGTGTGGCCAGAGCAGAAGAAGGCAGCCATGAGAAAAGCTAGTGTGTCACCCTCTAGTTAATAAAATAATGTTATATAAATATACAGATGTTTCTATAAATATTAATGTGCATATCAATATTTACATTATGTGTATGATTTTAAACAATCAGTAAACACTAAGATGTGGACTCTTGCTTTCCTTCTGGAAAAACTTGGAGTGTTTTCTCTTTTTGGTATACAATTAAGAGCTCTGCTTCTGCCTTGCCTCTGACTCACGACACTGACCTCTTCTGCTAAGCTGCTGCCATGTTCCTGATGAGCTGTGGTCCAGGCGCCGCAGTGAACGCGGTTCTCTGTCTGGCTCACATCCATTTGTGCAGTTAGCTCCTCCAGGTAGGTCAGAGCAAACTGAGGATAAGCCTGTAGGAAAGGAAAAAAAATGGGGCACTAGGCTTGAAAGCAACAACCAAAAATCTATACAGCCTGAATGATGGGAGGACAAATTAGATTAATAGTAAAAAGGTGAGGCTACTAAACTTTGTACTTCATTATCAATTTCAGATCAAAATCAAGCCAATTAACTTCAATATTATGATTTCTAATTAGCTGTTTAACCTGATAAAGTTTAACTTGATTGCTAATTTTTATCCTTAGAGAAGACTAAATATTAAAACCATGTTGCATCTTAATAATAGCTCGCATTTATTGAATTATTTCTACATAAGGGGTATTGGTGTAAAGACATTGTATATATGTAATATGCAGTTACTGTATTGTTTGGGAATATTTAATTGTGTTCCAGAAAACAAGAAAACAAATAGGATGAATGAAATTCTTTAGCTGCATTAAGCAGAGATAAGTAAATTAGTAACCTGAAGAGTGTGACACAGAAAGTAAGTACAGAGTATGTGAACATAGAAAGGGGTAGAGGGATAGATAGACATTCAATAGTTATAATTTACTCAAAAACAAAGCAACAAATATTTATGTTACACTAAATATAAATGAAACACATGATACATACAAAAAACATGAGATCTTTAAGTGGACACTGATGGCTGACTCTTATTTTGGATCTTCTGCTGGGTAAAATCCATAGCTGCCCATCAGGTTAAGTGGGGAGCAGGGTATATTACTGGCCAAGCAGATTTGCCAAGCAGCTCTCTCACAGAGCAAGCGTGTGTCACTGCCTCGGGCACTTTTGTCTGTTAGGTCTCGTTGCTCAAATTTCAGCTCTGCATCAGCAGGGAACCGCTACATCAGCAGGGAAGGGAGATGCACCAGGAACAGAGAACATGTTGGTATTGCAGAGATTCGGGAATTGTGGCCCTTCAACCCACTTGCACCTTAAGGGTGTTAACCTAGCCCATCTCTCTTTCCAAACATTTTTCTTTGTGTTTTAAATCTATTTAATACATTTGATTTGAGCATCTTAATTTGGTCCATGCACCTTTTTGTTCCATAAGCTCTAAGATAGCCTATCTAGGAGCATATCTGGAGACCTGCCATTGCATCAAAGTCATTTCCCACAAGACAGTATATTTACTCTTATATTTAATCTTTGCAACAGCCTTTTGAAATAAGTATGATTATTGTGTTCATTTTAAAGACAAACTAAAAAAACCAGACACAGGGAGTTTAAGCAACTTGCTCAGTGTCATCCAGCTTGTCTACCACAACATAAAGTCTAGATGTGCAGCCTCAAGTGTGAAATCAACGTCTGTACTGAGGTGTGGAACTAAAGTTCTAACAAAAACATGAGGAGGTATCCAGTGAATAATTAAAGGGCACTAAGGTCCTTGGCCGGGGGCGGGGGAGAGATACTGAGTAACTAAACTTTGTTAGAAAATGTATAACTAAATGTGCACATTAAAATTGTAAGGGACTCCAAAACTTTAAATGCATATTATTATGTGAAAAAAAACCAACCTGAAAAGGCTATAAATTGTATGATGCCAATAATATGACTTTCTGGAAAAAGGCAAAACTGTGTACATAGTAAAAAAGGTTAGTGGTTGCCAGGGGTTAGGAGGGACGAATCGGTTGAGCACAGAGGATTTTTCGGGCAGTGAAACTATTCTGTATGACACTATAATGATGGATAAATGTCATTATACATTTATTCAAATCCTTAGAAGGTATAACACCAAGAGTAAACCCTACTGTAAATGGACTTCGGGTAATGTTGTGTCAATACAGGTTCATCAATTGTAACAAATGAACCACTCAAGTGCACATGCTGACAGTGGGATAGGTTTGCATGTGTGGGAACATGGGGTTTATGGGAACTCAGTACTTTTTGCTCAATTTTGCTGTAAACTTAAAACTGCTCTAAAAAATGAAGCCTGTTAAAAAAATGTAAGGAACTTCACTAAAAGTAGAAATGGGAAAAAAAGATAAATTACACTACATCAAAATTTAAAACTTTTGTTCCACAAACAATGTCACCAGGAAAATAAGAAGACAACCCATAGAATGGGAGAAAATATTTTCAAATCATATGTCTGATAAGGGATAGACATCTCAACTATTTAAAGAACTCTTAAAACTCAATATAAAAAGACAAATAATTTTAAAAATGATTAAGGGATCTTAGAAGATATTTCTCCAAAGGATGCATATAAATGGCCAATAAACACTTGAAAAGATGTTCAGCATCACTAGCCATTAGCAAAATATTACAAATCAAAATCTCAATGAAATATCATTTCACACTTACTAGGGTAGCTATAATCAAAAGACAAAGAATAAAAAGAGTCAATAAGGATGCGAAGAAATTAGAGCCCTCTAATGTAGATGGTAAGAATACAAAATGATGTATTTGCATTGAAAAAGTTTTGTCAGTCCTTAAAATGTTAAACATGGAGTTATCATATGACCCAGGAATTCCACTCCTAGTTATATACCAATGAGAAATGAAAACATACCTCCATAAGCAAACCTCTTCTATACATATGTTCACAGCAACACTATTCACAATAGTCAAAACAGTGGAAGCAAATAAGATGTCCACTTACTGATAAATAGGTAAATAAAAACTGAAATTTCTATGCAATGGAATATTATTTGGCAATAAAAATAAATTATTAATGCATGCTACAATGTGAATGAGCTTTGGCAACATTATGCTAAACAGAAGAAATCAGTTATAGAAGACCGCATATATATTAAATATATAATATTTAATTCCATTTATATTAAATGTCCAGCATTGGTAAATTGACATAGACAAATAGAGCTGCAGTGGGGGAAAGAAAGAATGGAGGAAATAGGTGTGTGGCACAAGGTATCTTCTAGGGAGAACAAAAATGTTCTTAAATTAGATATGACGATGAAGGCACAACCCTGTGAACATACTGAAAAATACTAAATAGTGCACTTCAAATGGGTGAATTGTGTGGACATAACAAACGGAAGTGTGTGTAGAAGATCTCTCAGCTTCGTCAAGCCTCAGGTGGCTGCACCCCCAACTACACCTTGACGTCAGCCTGGTGAGAGAATGAACTGACCGGCTGGCCACTCCTAGATTCCTCGGCCACAGAAACCGAGATGATAAATATTTGTTGTTGTAAGCTACTGTGTTTGGGGGTAATTTGTAACAAAGCAATAAATAAAGTACAGGTACAAAAAAGGAAATAGATTTGTTTTCTCACAATCTTCATCAGCATTGGATATTCCTAATTTTATGTCTCTCATAATTAATAAGGAGAAAATGTTATCTCATCATTTTATATTTGTTTAGATTCTACCGAGGCAGACCTTTTTAATTTTTCAATGATAGTTTACAGTCAATATTATTTTGTATTAGTGTCAGGTGTACAGCACAGTGGTTATGCAGTCATACACTTGACAAAGTGACTCCTCTGATATTTCCAGTACCCATCTGGCACAGTATATAGTTATTACACTATTATTGACTATATTCCCTATGCTTTATAGTACATCTCCATGACTCTTTTGTAACTACTAATTGATACTTCTTAACCCCTTCACCTTTCTCACCCAGCCCCCAAGCCCCCTCCCACCTGGCAACCATCAGTCTGTTCTTTGCATCTAAGAGTCTGTTTCTATTTTGTTTGTTTGCTTACTTAGTTTTATAGATTCCACATAAAAGTAAAACCATATGGTATTTGTTTTTCTCTGTCTCACTTATTTCACTTAGCCTATAAACTCTAGGTCCATCCATATTGTCATAATGGTAAGATTTCATTCATTTTTACAGCCAAGTTATTTTTCATTGTATATATGTTACACCACTTTTTTATCCATTTGTCTATTGATGGGCACTTTGGTTGCTTCCATATCTTGGCTATTATAAATAACACTGTAATGAACATAGGGGTGCATATATTTTTGGAATTAGTGTTTTGGGTTTCTTTGGATATATACCCAGAAATGGAATCATGGAGTCATAATGCCATTCCATTTTTAATATTTTGAGGAATCTCCATACTATTCTCCTTAGTGGCTGCACCAGTCTGCATTCCCACCAACAGTGCGTAAGGGTGGCCTTATCTTGCCCATCCTTGTTTGTTGATTTATTGATGCCAGCCATTTTGACAGGTGTGAGGTGATATCTCATTGTGGTTTTCATTTGTATTTTTCTGATGATTTGTGACACTGAACATCTATTCATCTGTCTATTGGCCATCTTCCTCTTTGAAGAATTGTTTATTCAGATCCTCTGCTCACTTTTTAATTTTTTTTTTTTTTTGGCGTTGAGTTGTATGAGTTCTTTATAAATTTTGGATATTAACCCTTTATCAGATATGTCATTGGCAATTATCTCCTCCCGTTCAGTGGGTTGTCTGTCCATTTTGTTGATGGTTTCCTTTGCTGTGCAAAAACTTTTTAGTTTAATTTAGTCCCATTTGTTTATTTTTCCTTTTATATCCCTTTCCTGCAAAGATATGTCCAAAAAATATAGCTAAGAGAAATGTCAAAGATTTTACTACCTATGTTTTCTTCTAAGAGTGTTCTGATTTCAAGTCTTACATTTAAGTCTTTAACTCCTTTTGAGCTTATTCTTCTATATGGTATAAGAAAGTGGCCTAGTTTCATTTTTTTGCATGCATCTGTCCAATTTTCCCAACATGATTTATTGAATAAGCTGTTTCTTGCCTAGGCTGAACTTTTTTTTTTTAATTTATTTTTTCAAATACATTTGTCTCTGCCTACCCCCCACCACTTTCCCTTGCCCCCTCCCTCCTTCCCTTCCTCAGCTCTTCCCCTTTGGTTTTGTCCATGAGTCCTTGCTATATGTTCCTTGACTTTCCCCTTCCCTTCCTTTTCCCCACCCCCCCTCCCTCCTTCCCTCTTGTCTCTGTTGATTTCTTCTCCTTTCAGTGTTGCTGGTCTTATTTTCCTTGCATCTTTGTATTGTTGGTTAGGTTCCACTTATAGGTGAGATCATATGGTAT